CCAGGGTGTAGACCCGGTGGGGAAAGGACTCGCTGGTGGGCACGTCTGCACCCCAGTCTATGGGGTCCCGGCTACGATCAGTATCCGACGCATCTGTGCCGATCTCATCCAGGTTCTCCAGACTGTCCACGTAATGCACTCGGGGCGGCGCCGCCTCATAGGGATCATAGGTGGTGAGACGAGGAGATAGGTCTGTCTAAAAAAATAAAGAAATAGTACGCGTTAAGGGGAGGGGGCGAGAAAAATACAGTTGTCACAATTGGGTCGACTCAAATTAAGCAAATCTGCCAAACCTCCTAATAATTAAGTCGGCCTAGTAGTCATTCTGGATGATTGCTTAGGAAATCCTGCTTGGGCAGTCAACTTGCTGTCGCGCATTGGTGGATTCCATATGGGCGGTAAAGTTGGGCGGGTAAAATCGATCCAAGTATGATTAAATTCACGGTGCGGGCGTGGCGTTTGTAGCTCAAGTGGTTAGAATATTGGCTTCCGGTAAAGGCCTTCTCTACTATGCGGGTTCAAATCCCGCCAAACGCCTCGAGTTTTTTCACAATTGGGTTAATTTAAATACACTTTCGTTGTTTGAAAAAAAAAACACTAGAGATTACAGAAGAGTAGTTGGCGGGCATACGTAGGCTTTCAATAAATTCTCATCGGGCCATTAAATTTATATGGAAACAGGGTACAAGTTAAACAAGCGGTCAATAATGTTGGTCTTTTCTTACAACCGAGTCAGGGGAATCTAGGGGAAGGGGTCGATAAGAGAAGGGTGGTTACGCGGAGAGGGTTTGGTGGAGCCAGTCTAGGGAAGGGGAGGGAGACGCAGAGAGCGCGGACAAGTACATGCAGCTAAGTGGCTGTGGACCATGCTAGACGTGGAGCTTGCGGGAGGTTCTTTTGCGCACACAACGCCGGCTTCCTCAGCCTCATTGCGGTCGCTTCCGCTGTTGCTAGAAGCCGCTGACCCAGGGACTTTGGATAGTTGGACGGGACCCGTTCCCATATAAATGTAATGGCCCAATAAGAATTGATCGAAACCCTATGTCTACTCGCCAACTACTCTTCTAAATTCTCTAATGGGAATTTTTGCAATTTTAGAACACTAGAGATTAACTGAGATGAATGTTCGAGCATTGCCGGTCCCAATTGACACCAGCAAGTGAAAAGCTAGTTGCCTTAGTGCAATTTATCTCAATGAATATGGAAATAAAGAAACAACTGGAAAATTCCGTTATATCCTCTTTGAAAAAACTGGTACTTTGGGCTGTCCAGTAACAGCTGTCTTTTACGTTTCACAAAAGGGTTATTCTCAAATGTAATTTAACCTTTGCTGCTTTATTAACCCGCTTTTTGCATGAGCAGCTTTTCTCTACACTTTAAAATTAGGTTTCATTAGTAGCTCCGATTGTTCACTTTTCGGAATTTTCCGTTTTTACTTGATAAATCACAATATATCCTCTTTTCTGTAGGATGTTTAATTTTCTGCTGCAAGGAATTGTGTGACGCAGCTTGGACTGCCTTTCTATACCAGGGAATTTCTTGTAAAAATCCTTGGATTTCATGGGTGAGGGCAGCTAGTGTATAAAAAAAGACAACGAAAAAGCCTGTTTGAGTTCCCGAACCAGCGCCATCCTCAATAACTAACCACGATAAAAAGGTATTTAACCCATACACTTAAGAGATTTCAATTATTCGCCAATTTAACATCAAATCATCTTGCATAGTAGATTTGCATATTTAGGCCTGAAACATGTGATGATGCTCCAATAGATACACACAAAGCCTACGATAGCTCGGTTCGACAAATCAATATTGCATGACGACCTCGAAAAATTGACTAACAGAGTGCATTTACAAATCGAACAAAACTGCGTCGAATGCACTACTATATAAGGCCGACAGATCGGGCACTGTGCAACAAACCCACCA